CCTTCTCAATCCTCCACGTCATCCAATATATGTTTCCTATCATGTATTTGCAGGTTGCTAGACACTCTTGTAGACACTCTTGTAGACACTCTTGTAGACACTCTTTGTGCACCTACTATTTTTCAGTCATAGGGAAAAGCATGTCATTCACATGTTCTATGCTTTAAATTAGAAAGTTCTTGATTAGATCTTTGAGATCCTCAATATGTTGGGGGTCCTCAAAAATTCATGTAAAGTGCATGCAAAAAGCTTTGTTTGGATTTTTTGGAACCAAAATAAACTCATACTTTAATTTCATTTTTCCACGAATGCTTTGAAGTCCCCTCAGATATCTTTCCACCACGCCAAACTTGTTTCTCAATCCCTGAAGGATCTTCTTAGTTCTTCCACACCTTGGCCCACAGTCATGCCGTTCTTATTTCTGCTTACACACCTTTACCTGGATTGCCCTCTGCTTGCAGAGATCACAGCCATCCTCCAAGGCCCAGCATAGGTCTTTCCTAGTCCAGTTAGTTTTACAGGTTTAACTCATCCTCAGTGATTTGCCGTCTTCCACATACCCAGAGCACTTAAAGTCTTTGTCACACAGTGGAAAGTATTTATTTTCTTCTATCTTTTTTCAAGATGAACTGGCAGATCTTTGAAGTCAAAGACTACTTCTTATGTGTTTGATCTTTTAGAGATGGACACATGACTGACTCCAAAGAATCTACTTTTTGATCGATATTTCAGTGTAGTCTACAAAACAGGGTAACAGTCGATTGTCATTTGTCATGTATGCTATATCAAAAATAATTTTTAATGAACATGCTTATATATTAACTTTTCTTTTTAAATATCTATTCTTAGAATCTCTGTGATCTTTAGAAAAAGATAGAATTTTTTACCTAAAAAAATAAAAGGTATATACAAGTTGTGGGTTGTATATAAATTCTAAATAAGTACAGAGAAATAGAAGGAGTAACAATGTTGGTCAAAGATAGGCTTATTAATATTTCCGATGTATTATTTTTTGAATGGGCCTTTATAATTCCTGTCATGTATTTTTCACTCAAAACTATCTCAAAAATTGTTTTTCACTTTAAAAGAAAACATTATTATGTAGAAAATTAAATACCAAATAGACAAAATTGTTCTTTAAAAAGTGTGACAGGACATAGCCAAAATAACATCAAGCAATTACATGTATTTTTGAATCTTTATATTTTACCAAGCTAACTGCACAAATCAGAACTTAAGTGAGTCATTTTTAAAAGAAGTACAGGAAGTAAAGAAAAGACCTCATTTAAAATGCTTTGTGTCTTATGCTGTAATTTACATCTAACAAAAATCTTTGAAGCATCTGAATAAATCAATTTCTGTTATGAGAATCTAGTTTTATTATTTCTCTTGGTTCTCAGCACTGAGGTACTCTTTCAATTCTGGCAGTTCAAATGAAAAGAAAACAATCAAAACCATGAACAAGAAAAAAAAAAAGTATAAAAATATAAATTTTTAGGGCCAGTCTTGTGATCTGGTAGTTAGGGGAGCTGGATCCTACCTGACCTATGGCATAGTTCAAACCCTGGCTCTGGTGGCTTGAGAAATGCACTGGGTGTGTGTGCAGGTGGTGTGTATGTGTGTGTGTGTGTGTGTGTGTGTATGTATGTGTGTATGTATGCATGTCTAAAAGTTGAATAGGATGGAAAAATGGAAGAAAAGGAATAGCAGCATAACCGTACTCCATTGGGAGTGCTTTCTCCCTCTTCCTCTCTCTCTGTCCCTCTGTCTCTCTCTAGCAAGTACATGTGCCATCTGGCAACTTTTTAAAAACATTCTATGTGTGTGTATGCATGTATGTGTATGTATGTATACATATACACATATGATATGCATTTTGTATATAAAGTATACATATAATTACATATAATTTTATATAGATATGTATATAAATTTTGTAAAGATCAAAAAGAAAGGATTTTGAAATAAAAGCTTTTGAAAGTTAAAAAAAAGAGAGAGAGAGATTGAAAATGTACTCCTAAGGCTATCAGGTGGCATATTGGTTAAGGCATTGAACTCTCACATGGCAGACCACAGTTCAAGTTCTGAACTCAGCAGCTTAAAAATCTCTCCAGGTATGTGTGTGTCCGTGCCCAGAATCCTGAGAAGAGAATGGAAAAGGGATTGCGATATGGCCATCCCCCTTTGGGGGTGATTTCTGGCTTTCTGTCTATTTTTCTGGCAAGTGTGTGTGCCCTGTAGCAAAAATCTCTCTCTCAAAAAAAGAAAAAAAGAGGGACCAGCAGTTAGCGTAATGGCTATGTCGCTGGACTCCCACGTAGTCGACCGCGGTTCACGTCCTGGACCCGGTGGCTTAAAACTCACGCCGGGCGCGTGTGCATGCGTGCCCAAGATCCCGAGAGGAGAATGGAGGAGAAGGGATTGCGGCGTGACCATCCCCCCAGGGGGTGATTTCTCGCTTTCTGTCTCTCTGTCTCTCTCTGTCTGGTGAGTGCACGCACCCTATAGCAAAAACCTCTCCAAAAAAAAAAAAGAAAGAAAGAAAGAAAGAAAGAAAGAAAGAAAGAAAGAAAGAAAGAAAGAAAGAAAAGAAAAGAAAGAAAAGGTACTCCTGGTTTGTGAAGTTCCCAGAATGCACAGTCCTGTTATGACCCAGGTGATTTACTTGTAGGAAAATTTGAATCAGAACACAAGTAGAAATCAGAAATTCGTGAAGTTAATTGATATGCCCAGAGTTGTACATTGGGATAGCAGGAGTGCTAGGAATGGAAATTCAGATCCCAGGTTTCTTCCTAAATTAAAACTCACGTTATGTTATACTTGGTAGATTATGTAAGCCAAGTGTTGCTCTGTTTCCACTGACTTTACCGTGAACCTCATCAACAGTTCCTATCAATGTGTGATATTTGTCACGAGGGCTACTGTTAAAGAGTGTCTTATCATTTCTGCTCTAAAACAAACCCATCGATAAATGCATTGCCTGGATATAAAACATTGTTTGTATCATTTAATGAACAAAAATAACATTGATTCCACTTTTCTGTATTATGGTAAATACTTGTTCCAAGTCACCTTGGAGCTTTCATCCTAGAGAGAAACGTGTAAGCCCCTGAACCTCAGAATACTAGAATACCCAGATCCAAAGGAGTCACCAGTACAAATTATTTACACTGCACCTTGTTATACTAGTTAATAAATGAGGCTAAGCACTTTAATAACCTAAACAAAAATTAACAGCAGAACTAATCCTAGAATTGATCCCAGTGCTCTTTCAGTGATACCGTATCATTTTCATTTCATTCAGAAAATATTGTTTTAAAAAATTCTGAAGTAGCGAAAAAGATAAATCGTTCATTTACAATGTGAACAAAATGGTGTGCTTTGACTCATTTAAGGATGATGACACCTTTTAAATATGTCTTTTCTTTCATTCATAATATGTTACACTAACAAGTAGTTTGAAAGGCCATAGAGGAAGTTTAAGTCGGCTCTGCGGCTGCCTTACGTACCAACAGTGATACAAAACACCAGCATGTAGGCCCAGGAGGAGCTACTCTGGAGAATCAGGGAAGAAAATCAAGACTTACTTAGACCTTATCTTGGGAAAACAAACAAACCCTCACAATCACCTAAGACTTTAAGATAATGTCACTTTATTTTTCAAATATTGGGAAAAATAATAGTTACGACATAGTGTGTAGCCCTATTTATTGAATATGCATGCCTAACTAAGTTAAAATTGCCTAGATGACAGCTTTAATTATGGTAGTAAACACAAAGGCTGAAAAGTCAAGATAATGAAAACTAAGTTCACCACAAAGGCCTTAATGTGTATTAGTCAATTATTTGTACCTGTTCGTGAATGCAGTTTATGAATACGTGCAAGCTTAAACAGTTGTGATTTACTGTTTTTGGAACAATAGTGTTTGGATTTTATAAAGGACAATTAAAAACTAGATTTTTCAAAATCCCATTGTCCATGTAGTTTAGACCTTTGTTCTGCCAATATGCTCAGTCTTAAAAATGGAATAGTCGGGGGAACCAGCAGTTAGCATAATGGCTATGTCGCTGGACTCCCACGTGGTCGACCGCGGTTCGTGTCCCGGACCCGGTGGCTTAAAACTCACGCCGGGCGCGTGTGCGTGCGTGCCCAAGATCCCGAGAGGAGAATGGAGGAGAAGGGATTGCGGCGTGACCATCCCCTCTGGGGGGTGATTTCTCGCTTTCTGTCTCTATGTCTCTGTCTGTCTGTCTGGCGAGCGCACGCGCCCTACAGTGAAAATCTCCCCCCCCCAAAAAAAATGGAATAGTCGGCATTTGCACAGTTGCATTCATATAGTACTTTTCTGACATGCTATATGCTAAGCTAACTTATTAAAATAACACTTACTTGAAGATCACCTGTGAATTAGTAAAATGTATCTGACATAGAGTGGAGGAAGAGAAGCTTGCCGCTGTCTCTGTGTCTGTCATGCTGTAAAGTATACAACCAACGTGTTAAATATACATACTGTGTTCTGACAGGACTGCTACCTATGTAATGACCACAAGAATTCTTTTTCAAGTTTTCTATTCTTCCATGAGACAGACAGAGAGGTAAAGAGACAGAGATATAGAGAGAGGCAATGTCAACATGGTCGTCATGCCATGGTCTTCTCCAACCTCAGCTAGCCAGGATCATGAACATACATATGTACCTGGCATGTACCAGAAGAACTTGGGACAGGAATATGAGTCTTCTCATGTGTCCTCAGCATCACAGAGCATTATGTTACTGCTATACCACATGACTAGCTAATAATTTTTAACAAAGAATTATTGTTATTTCATTCATTCATTCATTTATTTGTTTTTAATTTGACCAGAGAGAGACAGAGAGAAAGAGGGAAAGTGAGAAAGCAAGACACTAGGTCAGGAATCAAACTGTGGTCAGCCGTGTGGGTGTGTCCTATGCCTTAACCACCATGCTACCTGCTAGTCCCAGGTCAGTAATTTTTAAAACTGTGAAAATAATATCCTAAAATCAGTTTCCTGATGGCAGGGGTTGCAATTTATTTACTGTAGTTGTATCCTTCACACTACCATATTGCGGAGCACCTAACAAAGGACTAACTCAGTTTTAATGGATGAATTAGAAAAAGAATGCCCAGAAATGAAGGGGGTGGGGGAAGGATCTTAGCTTATGTATACAACACAATACCTGTACTTGGAATGGCACTTTAATTAAATATGGGCCCTGCAGACAGACCATTCTACCCAGGTTGTATATCAGAATCACCTAGAAAGCTCTGAAAATATGCCAGTGCCTGAGCCTTGCCCACAGGGAGTCCTCTTTAATTGTTCTGGGCTGGGCTGTGAGAACACATATATATATATTTTAGTCTCCTCAGTAATGAGCAAGAGCAGGCAAGTTGGAATGCCACGGACTTCTCTGCAACTTTCATGTGTTTTTCATATCTGAAGGTAAACTAATCTTAGTTTTAAGCCGAACAAATATATAAAATATTCTGCATCAATGTCTTCATTTTCTAAATGAGAAAACTGAGTGGCAGGCAGGTAAAATTTCTTGTCTGATAGAAAACATCTCATAAAAAGCAAAGCTGGGACTGGAATCCAGGCCTTCCATAGCCTGCTGTTCATTTCTCATCTCACACCGCGGTGTTTCTCTCACGATCACAGCCACGCTTTCTGTGAAAAAAAGAAAACATTAAAGCTCATTCACACAATAATGTTCAGCTGTGTGGTTTAAATCCCAAGCATAACTTTAACAATGGAAGACGAAGATGTATAGCATTTTATTATTTTCTATCTTCAGTGCAAAACATAACCCTCCCAGCTTGTATAATGCAATTAACTGACTCATTGGAATATAAAATTATTAGGACGTGATACTCAACTCCAGTAGCGTATGAAACTCATAGAGAATTGGTTGGATTTTTAAATTAACTGGCTGTTATGGAAGACAGCAAGATAGTGAATGTCTGAAAATTGTGCTACCTGACTATAGCATAATGTTAAACTCTCTTACACGTAATTGTCATCTGGCAACCCTAACAATGAACATGGCAACCATTCTGCTTAATAGTTTTCTATGGTAAATATGCTTCACTTAATAGTGAGAGAAAAATAAAAGAAAAGAATTGGCTGACCTGATCTTTTTCAGTCATTAAATAATTTTTTAATTAAAAAACACATTTCAATTAGTATCTCCTCTTAATTTAGACTCTAGGCATTATGAAAGTGTCTACACGTATCAGTGTTTCTGACTTAGGCCACTACTTCAAATTAATTACTTCAAAATAACATTTATCTATTTCAGTAATTCTTTTCTTTTAATATAGCCACTCCATCAGTTAGATTTTTATGTATGTGAGTTTACATATAGAAATCGAAGCAAAAGCACTTTTAGTTCATTCAAGCTGAAAACTAGATGTTACAAATTGATTTGATGTTGTTATGGGAAAAATTAGTTTTATTCATTTTTAGTTGTATAGTATAATTGAATCAGAAAACTTTGCATTAGGTGTTAACTTCAAATAATGTTTTCTGTTTAAGTGTGTGCTTTAAAAAAAAAAAAGTTGCCAGAAGACACATGCACTTATGAGAAAGAGAGAGAGAAAGGGAGAAAGAGAAAAAGAGTGAAAGGCAACCCAATGGAGCATACTCACACCACAGTCCTTTCTCCTCCATTTCTCCATCCTGTTGGGATTTGGGGGCATGCGTGTACAATGACTTGGTATGTTTTTCAAGCTGCCACGGCAGAGATTCAAACCACTTTGGGCCATGTGAGATCCCTTAATCACTAGACTAGGGGGCTGGCTCCACTTTTGTCATTTTAAAATATGATACTCACAGTATGACAATTTTCTAGATTCACTGTTAGAATTTAACTTTATTGACTTGTTTCCATGTGAGAAAATGCTAGGTCCCTAATTACCCTCCCCAGTATAAATGCAACCAGATTAGTACCTAAACTAATGAAAGAATCGGTGGCACATATACTCTATGGAATACTATTCAACCATAAAAAACAACAAAACTTTGGCTTTAGACAGACAGTGGAAAAATATGGAAGATTTACTGGTGAATGAAGCCAGGCTATGAAGGAGAGACATTATATATCCCCACTGAATATATACCAAGTGTCTGCACTCTATGAATGAAACCGATTGACTAAAGGATATAGAAACCCAATATATGGATACAAATACCAGATATAGTGTGTGTGAAAGAGTAGGGTCTGAGGAAGGGCATTTAGAAGAAAACTAGGGAGGCAAAGCATTAATGGGACAAAGAAATGTGGTATTATCTGTTGAAGATATTTTATAGTTTTATCAACTGGACTAGGGAGAAATGTTCACCTGTTGAAATATTCACTTTGTAAGCTAAATGATGTGATTGAATGTATAAAAGAAAATGAAATTTAAAAGTGAAAAATAAAAAAACAAATAAAATAAAAATAAAACAAACATATGTTCCATCTCAACATAAACATCACTACAGGGAACAACAAGATGTATAAGCTATCTTTAAGGAGTTTGGACTTATGTCCACACATATAACACAGCCAGACTGTATTATAAAGAAGGTACTTCATCTTTGTTCAGTTAGTGCTAGGGGTTGGTAAATCTCAGCAAACCCTTTGGAGCTATAAACTGACCTTAATGGTTTTCTCAAGACCTGTCTTCTGAAACATTCATGCAGCCTTGAGAGTCAAAACAGTTTAATAAGTTTTTTTTTTTTTTCTTTTTAAGCTTTTTTTTTTTTTGTCATAGAGAACTTGTACCTGCCTGCAAGAGACAGTGGGAGGGAAAGTGAGAAATCAAGGGAGAAGGAAAGGCCATGCCACAATTCCTTCTCCATCTAAGATTTTCGGCATGTGCACACACACACATACACCCATCTTAAAATTTTAAGCAGGAGTCTGGTACCTTAACCACTAGGCAACCTGCTGACCCCAAGTGAGTTTTTTAAAAGGACTTTAGGTATTGCTGTATGACACTGATCCTCATGTCTACATATTTATGGTGAAAAGAAACCAGAATATAGACACTTCTATCAAAAGGATAGGGACAAAATGTCAAAGTTTAGGAGGGTAAAAGGATTTTTTCGGCCTCCTTCAAATTAACCACCCAGGTAATTTTTAACTGGTTTGTTCATTATCTGAAATCTCAATAGTCCCATATCTGTACATAATTCTAGGAAAATAAGTGGGAATTGTTTCAGGCATGTAAAAAAGACTCTTAAATATTACTGTTATTCCTAATTTTTTCTTCTTTTGTTCTCACCAAGATTGCTTTCTTTCTGTGAAGTCAGTGGTCATAGAAATTCTGTTCTTTAGCCTAAGAGATAAGTGAATGTTTTCTCAGTTACATAACCAAGTGATCTTTTGCTACCTGGCTCAGAAGAACTGACCAAGGAGTTGTCTCTACAGGCATATGTTAAAAGTGTCAGACTGGGAACCAGCAGTTGGCATAATGGTTACATCGCTGGACTTCCGTGTAGTTGACCACGGTTCAAATCCTGGACCTGGTGGCTTAAACACATGCTGGGCACATGTGCATGCATGCCCAAGATCCAAGGGAGGAAAAGGGATTGTAGAGTAGCCATCCTCCCTGGGGGGTGATTTCTCGCTTTCTGTTTCTCTGTCTCTCTCTGTCTTTCTAGCTAGTGCATGCACCCTATAGCAAAAAAAGCCTCTCCACGAAAATTAATTAATTAATTTAAAATTTTTAAAAAGTGTCAGATTGTGACAGTCTGGTGTGCATATGGGGACAAGGTGTTGCACTCTGGAGAGTAAGGCATGATCATGTTACACAAAACATGATTTGTAACATGTAACATGTCTAGAAGCTAATGATTTGTCTAGAATTTTGTGTATGAGCTCCTTCATTTTAAAATGGGCAACCTCTGAACAGGAATATGTTACATAGCAGCTGCTCTCTTTCATATTATGATAAAGCTTTTACATTCACGTCAGTGGAAACCATTAGTATCTCAATCACACTGACTGAAAATTTTCAAGGTATTGAGTAAAGAAATAGTTCTTTAAAAGAATTGTTTAACTTTATTTATTTTCAAGTTGACCAGAGAGGAACAAAGCAAGAGCAAGCGAAAGAGAGAGAGAAATTGAGAAAGCAAACCACCAGGTCCAGGACTCAAGCTGCGGTTGGCCATGTGGGAGTCCAGTGCCCTTAACTACCACACCACCTGCTGGCCCCCGAGTAAGAAAATAATTTTATGTTGGCTAAAAGAACAACGTTACATTTTTGAAAGTAGTAGTAGTAGTAAAAACCAGTGTATACTGCTTCCTTATTTTTGTAATAGTTTTATCAATTTAGTTGCTTATCCATTTTGACAAATTGCATTGATAAATAGATAATTGATAAATTATATTGGGTTGTTGGAGAAGTCATGACATACTTTCGTATGTAAAATGCATCATGACTTTTCTGACAATCCAGTTTATATAAGTACAAACATATATATGCACACACACATACATATTCAGAGTTTGCTACATATATAAGAGATATTTTACATTTTGAGTGCTTCAGCTTTTATACTTGTAAGTAATCAGGATAATTGTCGAATTTGTACTTTTTCCCTTTTAATCTTTGTGGAATAATATATTTTTATAGGATTTCTTATGTTAAAAGATAAATGTAAATAGGTGAATGAAGAAACTGTTTCTTGGATCCTATGATCACGAGTCAATATTCAATTATTACACTGTTCTTTTTGGTTTTCTTACCAAATAAAGCTGTGATTACAATTCCAATGTTTAAAATAAACTATAATAAGAAAATAGGAAAAGCAATAAAGAAAATAGGTAACAGCAAAATAAAAGCAGTGAAGTTTGTTACTTGATTTAAAATTCTGATATTATACTACATTGCTTAATATTAATTTTATCAATTACTTATAGTTTCTATGAATTATATTCCAGATGCTTAAAAGGGAAGAGAATAAAGTATTATTTTGGGGGAAAAATGCATTAAGCTATTTCTTTTTTTTAAGAGAATATATTAATTTTCAAACACTTTGCTCAGACATGTCATTTAACTGAGAATTCATTTCCCTTCAACTCATTTTGACTGGTACTTTAAAAAGTTTTTGCCTTATAAATGTAAGATAGTGCTTATTAAATTTTTTGACACACCAAGTTTGCATAACCCTTTTCTTGGTAATGATAACCCGTCAAAGTTCCTGTGGCTCTGACTCATTCTGTACCACCTGAGACACTTCAGCCTCTTGACCCCTATAATCCCAGCTCTTCATTAATAATCACAAAATGAGATTAAATGACAGATGAGGCAGATTTTCTGTAGAAACCCTTGATTTGACATATTCAATTTAGAGAATCATCTTTCTCTTTTTACTTGCCAGAGAGTGTATGCCCTCCCTCATTAGAGAGAGAAAGAGAAACAGGGAGAGTGAGAAAACACCCCGCAGTGGGCTAGGGCCATGCAGCAATCTCTTTTCCTCCATTTCTCCACCCTGTCCAGACTCTATCTTGTTGAGGTTTTGGCCATGGACACGCATATAACCAGCTTGTTTTTCAAGCTGCTGGGGCCAGGATTTAAGCCTCATGATCAGTTGGCTAATTTGTATCCCCTCCCTTAACTACTAGGCCATGTGGCTAATCCATGAAGCATATTTCTATATGCACATACTTCCATATAAGA